CATCAATAAAAATCATGGTGAAATACCTATATGATGCAATATCCAAAAAAATTTGAAACTGATCCATGCCATTTTTTATCCACACAGATTATGTGAAACAGGTAGTAAACTCAACTAACTATTAAATAAAATTCATGGTTCTATAACACTTTTAACTATATGCAAGATAGAGGGTACCATTAAGATAAAGATAAACTCTTTAGGGAATTGATCTTCAAGCTGATAAACTTCGAGGAACTCACTGTTGTTTTTTATGACTGATTGATAAAAAATAGCCACCAAGAAGAAAACAATCAAATCCGTACAGAATATGTATGCATATAGATCGATATCCTTTTTCCCCCCACCAACCACAGAGAGTATCACATAAGGGAATCCTATTTCATTAAAAATACCAGCACGTTGAGCTTCTAGAATCTCACTGGTAACATCAGCTGCTGGAGTTAGTGACTGTAGCCATTCTATACGGTAAGGTTTTCTTGAGGTAGAGGCATATAAAACCTCAAGAACAACCAGAGCCACATTGGCATTCTCTGGACTTCTTTCAATGCTTTGAACGCGAATCTTACTTGCAGAGCCAAAATGATTTGACTCCTCCTTGTATCTTCTGTTGTTCATGATCTTTAGCAACTTGTTTATTTTCAATTCAATTTTCTGAGGTTGAATGCCATCCTCAGGCCACAAATTTACTTCCATGGACAGTTGCACAAAATAAGGTGGAGTTTCTGCTCCCTGCGTCAGAGATTTCCAGTACCTGTAAAGGTTTTTAATCAACATCTTTGTCACATTTCTTAGAAAAAAAAGCAGTGCCCCAATTCTCCCTGTGAAGCTAAAGCTCTTTGTGACCTCTTCCTGGCAATCACTTCTTCTCTCGTGGAAGCTGTACTCTCCAATCACTCCCCATTCACTATCTCTTGCAGTTATGGAGGATTGTAAGAGAGTAAACAAATAGACTAAGAAAAGAGGCCAATTGCTGATTACAAAAGATGACGTGATCTTCTGTGCTGGAAATCCTAATTCCTGAAGTAAGATTGCCTCAAAAGTGATCCCACAATGTTGGATAATGATTTGATATACATACTGAAACAGAATGCAAGCTTCTGTGTAAATTAACATGATAACCCAGAACAGGTTACCAGGACCAGTATTTACACATAGAGCATATAAGAAGAGAGTTGCAGGATAAACCATCGAAAGCAGACCAAAATTCCACAGAAATATCAAAACAAAGCAACAATAACAAACAACATCATTATTTGATCTCATTTGCGCCCACATGTAGCGGAAAATAATACCAATTTGTAGGAAGGCAACATCAGATTCAGTACGCTCGCTGCCAGATAGCATAGCAGATGTTCGGTCCATATGTTGATAGCCAAAACTCAGATTCTCCATCTCATAAAAGACCTCATCATCTGTGGAATCATTCAAATCTAGTTGTTCATGTTCTATGTTCAAGAAACTCACAAGTTGTGTAACAGCCATGCTACCAAGCGTTTGAACTTGTGAAACTCCATCACCTATCAGGTGGATGGCTGAAATTAGTGGATTTTCATTTGTCTGAGATTTTTCCTGTTGTCTTGCACCTGAACCCCAGAACTCAGTAACAGCAGCTTTCTCCTTTATTTCACTTATCTCAACCATGAAATCCACTGGTTGCTTACTAGAATCTGCTGCAGTTTCATATCCAGGTGATTCATTGATATTGAAAGGAGGCACAAAATCAGAGCTCAGATTAAGATCCTGTTTCTTGTCAATAATGCCCTCTTTTGCCAGCATACCCTGTTGCAGATTTGAATTTAGAGAAGGGTTCTGACTTCTAGTTCCTTCACCTTCAAGTTTAGTTTTATCACAATTCGGAGTGGTGCTGGTACTGTAGAGCTTAGTTTGAAGGTTGAGCATCTCTGATTTGATCTTTTCGACTTGTGAATTTCGCATGCGCTTCTGCTCTTGAGTTGTGCGTATGTGTTGCAACTGTGCAGTCTTCCAGGCGGCCCTCTGCTGTTGCTCATACACCAAAGCACTAATCTGCTCTGCCTCAAGATATTTTGACACATAATCAAACTCCTTGGATGAAAACATAAAAGACTGAAGTGATACCAGCATAAATATGATAATCTCAACAAGGGCAGATCGTGATGTAATTCGAAACCCATAATCATATTTATAAAAGCCAATCACTTCACTGATGTAACCTACCATTTCACACTTCCCCTCACAAAAAGCCCCCACGAAAGGAGACTGGTAAGCAAGAGAAAGGACAATTACAGCAAAATTGTAAATCCTCAAGAATTTAAATATTTTGTTTTTCTTCTTTAGTATTCCACGCCTCATTCGGAAGAATACTAGAGATAATCCAAGGTAACCCAGGTGAAGAATGTCATACTCGAGAGTTCCTGTGATCAAAATCAAAGCAAGTACAAGATTCAGCAGGTGACAGTATGTATAAAGCCTCAAGTAGTCAAAAATAGTCCACAAGCGTTTGGTTTCAAATGAAAGATCACACAGAACAGATGCATCATTAGACTGAGACATCATTTCTTCATATGTTTGTGACCCCGAGAGACTGGACAAGTGGTCAGCACGAAGTTTGAAACATGAAAGCATAAAAACCACATAATAGCTGATAAGTATTCTTGGATCATCAACCAGGATTCCTGTAGAAAAATAATTGCTAGCTAGAATTAAAACATTAGATCAGACAGTTTAAACTATTATATGAGCACGGAATTTTTAGATGGCATGATCCCCATGAACCCATGATTTTAAATGGTTTCATCACAAAAGTGCATGAAATACTTTATGTTAATAAAAATATGCTCAGTTACTTACAAGAGAGCATAAAAACAACGACCTTTTTTTTTTTTTTGGAAAAAACATATCATGCTAGACACATAAAAACCTTTTATGTAAACAAATATGCTCTCCAAAATGCCTGAAAAAATCAAACCATTTTTAGCTGCTAGTTTACATAACGTATATGCATGGAGGAAGAAGTGCCACTAGCTACTAACACACTAGCTGCTAACACAATAAACAGAATGTTTCTCAAGAGAAATACCCAGCCAGCATTTTTTACAATAGTCGAGGTAAAGATTAGAGTTTCTCCAACAGTCCTTGCAAGGCAAATCCGATTTATATGGTTGGAGTTGCCTCCAAGATGTCAGATTTAACCATATAGCCAAGTACTCAAGTGTGAATACAGAAGCAAATAAGAACACAAACATTGGCCATAATTTTCGTATGATCTCTCGTCTTAAAAGAATACATGCAGAAAGTGCTGCAATGTAGAGCAATGAGATGGCATTTAGCACTGCGAAGCTGGCAAGAAGCAATGCAACCATATTAATCTCAAGGCCAAAGAGATTAAACATATTCTCTGCCCAGAATTTCATATATATTTTCAGAATAGCCTTCTGCATTTGAAGCCTCTCTTTCCTCAACACAACAATTTGCTTTTTGTTACATTTATAACCATCTTTGGAGCATTCCCCAAAATCCTTATATGAATGGATTCTGCAAGTACTACCTCCAGAGCCTCCAACATGAAAGAATATAGGATCTTGATCTTGAGAAACACAAGTGTTTATAGATGGATATGAGTGGCTTGTTCTTTCTTTCTTTTTACCCAACAAGGGATTGACATGTATATGTTTGCTTCCTCCACTCAATGTGGCAGCTTCATTTTGGACTTCTGCAGAGCCAAACAAGGAGCAAGGTTCCCTCCATTTTCCTTCACTTTCACAATCAACAGGCATGTTTTCCAACCAACGGAAGACATTGTACTGCAGAATACAAGCTCCAATAACCAATACTTTTCCCCTCAATCCTGATTCTACTCCCAAGAATCCAGGTTTATACGGATGCAAGCCCAGAAAACATGCAAAATAGGAGTACTTTTCACCTGGGAACATCTCTGCCTGGTGACCCCACATCTGGAATAGATATTCAACCATCACAAGTAATCCAGAATAAACTAGAAACAGCTTGGAAGGGATTTGAGAAGTTTTGGGCAAAGTTGAACAAAAGATCAGTCCAAGAGTATAGAAAAAACCAAGTGCACTGATTGGGGATAAAGATGCATAAAATAAAGCTAGAAACAGTATCTTCTCACTGTGCAAAATTAAGAGACGCTTAAGAAAAGTAAAAGAGCCAACTCGCGGAACTTCAGCACTTCTTTGTCTGCAGAGTTTGCTCTGTCTCCTCTCATAGTTATATAACTGCATCACCACTAATACAGCTGAGGATTCCCAAACATTTTTCAACATTGAGGCTTCCGGGTCATAACCAAAGGCAGAATAAAGATCAACAATTCTTGACAGCCAAGTCCGGAAACTAGAGAAAATACATAGTCCATAAATGAAAATAAAAACTGCAATAGCATAAACTTTTAAGGGTAACCAAAGGGGCCTTCTTGTCTTTCCCACCAGTTGTCTTCCCATCATCCACAGTAGAAGGAAGAATAGATAACCAAACGAAGTATAATTAGGTTTTACTCGGTATACTGTCAGCAGAATTGTTATGAAAGCAATGTAAGTTCCACATGACCGATACATTGAAAGAAACTTATCTCCTGTTGCACTAAGATATGATACTATCCTTCTCTCTGTAAGATCAAGCAAAGAAAGTGAGTAAGATCTTCTAAATACCAAGCCTATTCTGTAATCATTTCAAGAAAAACATAGATGCCTTTCTCTGGATTTCCACGTGGAAGAATTCAAGGTTTTGTAACATGTATCATGACCAGAAAAGCTTGACTGAATTTGATAAAATGTTATTACTCCTAAATTAGAGGGTTACAATGAAGATAAAACAAATAAATATTGCCCCCTCCCTCTAAATCCTAATAAAAAGGGTATGTAGTCATAATAATTGAAATTTCTGAATTTCTATAAAATTTTCCAGATGATTCCATGACAAGGGCCCTAAACAGTTATTAAGTTCCTTCTGAAAATAAATTCATAATTTTAATATATTTATTTATGTAGTCGAAAAATTATCCAATTTCTTAAAACGAAAAAACAATAATTTTTAAGGAAGAATCTCAACTAAGACAAGGCATATTGCTATCAAGATGAATTCAAAATATCATGCATTCTTACTGGGAATAAATGGATGCGCCTAAACCACAATAATGAGGTATCCTGGCTATCTGATGGTCCATAATGTTTTTTATGTCCGAAAATCACTCTTATCATTCAGTTCTCGCCAATCATTTTTCTCTCAAACTAATGCTCAAATCTAAGACAAGTGAAACACCAAGTCCCATTTTTCAACATCATTAAAACTAAAATCTTATTTTTATTTAGTCTAAGCCCACCAGAAGAGTCAAGCATCTGTTAGGACTTTCAGAAAAATACTTCTTTTTCTTTTTGCAGAAGAAAAAAATATGTTTTTAATTCAGAAGAAAATCAAAGCATCTTATGATAATTTGAACTGCTGATGAGTTATACCACGAGAGGAGTTGATTTCCAGCCTCCTTCTGGATGTTGAAGTATAAACTGACAATAAAACAGATTTGAGCAAACCAGCTCTCAAGATGCTAAACCCAATTGGAGGGTGAGGAGTGCGCTGCACAATTGCTGAAAATGAGAATAACATTTCAAACCCATGATTATGAATAGAGCAGAAGCATGCAAGCACAGCAATCTTCAAGAAATTCCCTGAATTAGCATAGTTAATAAGACCTGCAGCAAAACATCAAATTTCATCAATAACGTAGAAATTAAAAAATAAACAGTAAATGTATTAAAGGCCAAATACGGAAAAAAGAAATGTAGTAGGCATCAACAAATGCCAACATGATTAATGTCTTAAACAATAGTCCATGTGCTTTAGTGATTATGCTATAGAGTTACATGTTTTCCAAAAGAAGTAACTTTTACTCACAAATTCAAAACAGAAAACCTTACCTAATTGTGAGAGAAATTTTACAGCAATTGAGCCTTTCTGTTCTAAAGATCTCGAAACCAGATTAAGTTGAAGAACATATAGTAGTGCAAAATGTGCCTCACACAGAAGAACTAAGGATTGCCGTGTCTTTCTACCAATTCTGTGGCTTAGTAGAAATATCATGAAGAAAGCCACTAAGATAAAAAGCAACATAGACACCAATTAGTTATATTCTTATATATTAAACTGCAAAATCTATTGCTATCTAAATAACCTAAGTATATTCAAAATTGAACAAAAAAATATAAATTTGAAATAGTAGTGCTTCAACTTACTATATAAAGCATGAATAAGGCCAGGTTTGACAGCAATGAGAAATAATAGTGACAACACTACGGGACGAGAGATTTTGCGCAGCATCCATGCAATTGTAGCTACAATCAGTACTTTTGTTTCTTCTCTCTCTGAAATTAAAAAATCATGAGTGACTCAGATGCTGAAGAGAGCAGAAGCATAGAGATGAGAAGAAAAACAGAATAATTTCACTGTTTGAGCACCAATCATAAGGGGAGGTGCAAAATGATTCAAAGATAGAAATGTCAGTTGAACTGAAATATGAATTCATGCCAAGAATCATAAGTCCCAAACACTCAAAAGAATCTCAAGGCAAGACTATTACATCTCAATCTTTCTGTAGAAAGTTAACTTGTTGTAATCCCAGAAAGGGATGGTAAACATGAAAGCAAGAATTACATGAGAATATGCATGAACAAGAAACCAGCTAAAAATGTAAACCTTTTTAGACCATAACATGCATACCTGACATTCATATTTTTGCACATGCACCAAGTGAAGATTCAACAAGATAATATCTAGTTGAAAAAAAGTTTCTAGAATACTTAAATATATTTCAAACTGAGCAAAGTTGAACAGGCTATTCCACACAATTTCTTCCAGCCACTTAAAGATACAGTTACAAGTAACTACTCTTTTGGCTATGAGTTTGAATCCTTCATGGTCCCAACCAAAAAGTACTTATGTCCTGGGTATAGGGAGGAAACTAAAAGTGTTTTTGACAGGAGATTTTATGGTGTTATTTCAAACAAACTTGTGTATTGGATATTAAATTCAAAATTGTAAAAGCTCCCTTGAAGTTTACTAGATTTTAACAATAAAAATAATTATGCACGAAATTTTTGGTGAAAAAAGCCTTCACAACATCCAACAACTCTCAAAATATTACAGACACATGATAATACTTCATCTTCAAGCCTTTTTCAACATTCGGTGGCCTTTACTCGAGAAATTCAGGGTATGGCATAAGTCCACTTTAATAGACTAGAAGATTTTCCAATAAGAAACAGGAAACAAACAGGTTTAATTTTCTCTTTGGAAATTTTTTCTATGAACATCACAAGACAAATCACTGTCATCTTCATCTGATTCAGACCACCCATCTATTTTTTTATTTTCTTTGTAGCAACCAGGCTTGTCTTGGCAATTTAATTGTAGGAGTTTTCCAGGAGCAAGTTTGATTGTCTTGAAGAGATAAACTTGAGTCATGTCATCTTCATTTTGGCTATCACAGGACAAGCCAACTGGTAAGTTGAAAGCAGTCTAGAATTTGAAATTATTAGCTTATAACTCCATGAAGACTTCCTGTGTTAGGATCATTTGTTAAGAAAATTTATCCCAGTAATAGTTTACTCTGTATTCTCACATGGCATGGGCTTTCCAGGCCTCAAGAACTTCCATTGAAGATCCAATATGAGAATTAAACATCCAAACTATAAATTTCCATGCTCTTGCATTTTTTATTGTCAAGGAACTTCATTTGATCTTCGCTTCATTTGGTGACAATTTTGCACTTGTGTACAAAAAAGATCCTTCCATATATCGCTGATTCTCTTTTGTTGTCCATCTAGCCATCTCCCTATGTGTTTTTCCCCTTACCATTTTGTTAGAGATTAGGAGTAAAACCAGAGTTTCCAGATTTATAACAGGCCTTTAAAAACAGATTATGTGAGTGTAAAAGATCTCTTCAGAACTAATAACAAAAAGATACCTAACAAATAAAAAAAAAATTGAGGAATTAATGCAAACAAGCCAGTTACCTGGACTGTTTCTCACCTTGAACAGTAGAATCATCACTTGAAACCCGTCCATCTCCATCAGACATGTGGAGGAAAACAGAGTTGTTTACAAGATTACCCAATGCAACAAGAACACCAAGACAAAATTGTGCAAGAAGATAAAGTCCTGGGATAGGATAATGCCACAAGCCAATAGTTTCCCAGATCTCCATGTCCTGCAAACATTGTTCAACCATCTTAGACCAGTTATTGTTATCAACATGCACTGCAGGAGATGAGCAAAGATAGTACCTTCTGCAGTTTCTTGTTAAGGACCGTGAAGGCTACATTGAAGATGTATGTGCTAACAGCCCAGAAGAGAATGAAAACAAGAACCATTCCATTTAACCGGTGCAAGTGATACATGGAAGGGAAGGCATAAAGAATATAGCCAACATATGCGAGTAGTCCAAATGCACAGATGCTTGCAAAATGGAAACTCCAAAATGAAAGAGCAAGCAAGGAAATCTGTCATATTCAGCACTGAATACTCTTAATTAGAGAAGATGGACTCCCAACAGCATGTTGCAAGAACAAGCAAGACAAACAAACCTCTGTACAGATGTTCAATAAAGAATAGATATATGACTATGGATTAAACGAGATTCCTCTAAACCTAAAGTAACTCTTCACTGCAAAAAGAAGAAAAACAAGGATGCCCCAAATAATCACATTTACCCCAATGTCACCTAAAGTAACTCTTCACTGCAAAAAGAAGAAAAACAAGGATGCCCCAAATAATCACATTTTCCCCAATGTCAATAGCATATCTCTAAAACTAAAAGCTGCTTACATACCCATGCAAGTCATGGGACATGAATAAGCTTGTTAAAAGGTTTGAACTGTAAAAACTCAAAGAAAATCAACAGCGTCATAGTAAAGTACCAAAGAATTACTTTTTACCATGTCAATATCATATATCCAACAGAGCATGTCACGTTCAAGAGTATTGCAGTATGGTAAAAGGTACACAAACTAAGTATAAACAAGAAATTTTTGGACACGAAATTATTTGAATTAGGGAACCACCCTCAGTTTCCATTTATTTCAACATTTGCAGAACTCTTGATATATTATCCTAAATTCTTAGTAAATACACAATAAACTTGTGAAAGCTTATATGACTTCCAGAACATGCCTATACCATAAACTAAGCAGGTGTAAAAGCAACTTTCATGGGGATCCTACAGCCGTTAGATGGGTGATATAGCTATTCCTGGGAAATGATCTTGTAGTTAACCATGACTCCTTTCCCACCTCCATTTCTGAAAGTAAGATGAACTCTAACTCTAAGGTTTTATCAGATCAAAGTATGGTAGGATCTGAGATGGAGGGTTAACCACCACCACCCATACGGTTGCAAAGCCTGTCCATTAGGGGAAAAGAAAAATAAAATTTGGATCTTTCCAAAGATGGACATTGAAAGAGAATGCCTAGAAAGAATCAAGCGATAACAATGAGCCTCTAAACAAGAGATGTCATCACTATACTCCATAATTGGTAGCTTGAAAATCAACCTAAGTGGAGTTAGGTCACAATTTTAGGTTCCAGTAATCCAGTGTCAACTTTAATTTCTTCAAATGCATATATAGTTTGACACACGTTCAAAGAAAAGCATGTACAGGTAAGCCACATGGCAAAGCAGGAAAAGAGCAAAAATAATAAAGTTAGCAAATGCACACGCACCGGTAAACCATAAGTAAAAAAGTTGATGCTAAAAGTCCGGAACACTGGTCCTGTTGACAAAATATTTGTATGTTTTACACCAGATCTGCAGGACATTTATTAAAGCTGAGTAAGAAAGAATACACAAACGAAATGAAGAAAAGAATTGCAAGTTCTTTTGCTATACCACATGGATCAAATGCAAGTTTTCAATTGAACACTCAATTTTTTAAAAAATAGATTGATCAAACCAAATTTTAAGTGTAAAGAAAATTCAATACCTTGATTCGTGAATAAGAAACAAATGCTTTGAAGTAAGAAGTGGGTCCGTGAAGCTGTTTTCTCTTGTGGACATGATGAAATCCATCTCTATAAGATCGCATCTAATCCACGATAGCTGTAAAAGAAATATAGAATGATAGAAACTTCTGAAAGCTTATACAACATGAGATATCCTCTAGTACAAGGACAAAGAACAAAAATAGGACTTCATAGTAAACCAAAAAGTTATTTACCATAATGTAAAAAAGTAGAACTGCTAGAGCTGAACAAATTTCTGACCACTCTGACTTTGCAGATATTTTATAGAGCCCAAAGAAATTAGCAAGCCACTGGAAGATGCCCAAAAATTCTACAGGGAGTTGATATATATACAACAGAATAATGTTGAAGCCTGCATACGGTAGGAGATACCTCCACCACCTTCAAAAACCATATGGAAAAAACAACTCAATGACATTGATAATTTTTTATAATTAATCAAAACAAGGTCTAGTCAGCTACAGATAGCAACTAGAAATGCCTACCAGAAAAGACCCAGAAAATTGCTTGTTAAAGACCAATCAACTAGCCCAATACTGCTACAAATGAAAAATGGTAAAGAAATCCAAGATGGATGGCTAATGCCCACAACAAGCTGTATAGCAGGCAACAATAAGAAGCTTAAGACCCTGAGATGAGAACCTTCAGGAAAGAAACAAAAAAAATTAAAAATGAAATTAAAAATCTTGAAGTCATTCACCAAGGCATAACACTAAAGCAAAATCAATGTTGAAATCTTAATATAACACTAAAGCAATTCTAAAGCAAATAACGACGGTATGTAAACATTTCATTAATCCAAATGTAATCAGACCTGCCAACTTCATCTTTAAGAAAATGAATGTGGAATTCAAAAATTTAAATGGAAAGTAGCTAAAAATGAATGTAATAGCAACTTGTTCCTCAGATAATAGACCATGTATAAACAAAGTTTCAAATTTTAATGTGGTCAAATTATAACACAAGACCTTCCAATGATTAAACCCTTTAATTTAGTTTTAAGTTTACTATATTGCTTCACAGAAGTTTTCATAATCTGCCAACCTATAATGGAGAACATCTTTATGTCACAATTAAACTGCAAAAAGGATGGGTACATGCTCCTAAAGTACAATAGAGAATGAAAGAAGTCAATTTGGAATTGTATATTAAACTATGTACTAGTTAATTATTACAAACCTATATGTATGATAGAGGAATATAAATGCCCCAACCAAAAATATCTCCCTGCATTGATACCAAATCTACTTCCATAGATCTCGAATAAAGCAACTAAAGTTGCCAGTACTTGTATTACCAAGAAATATATCAAAGAGGGAGAGCTCCAAGATTGATCCCTGCAAAACCATCCCATTTAATTATGTGTAAAATAGAAAAGGAAAAAAAGAAAAATAAATAGTACTCAAACTCCAGACTTACCTTATGAAACCAATTAGTTGGGCCCATTGAGCATCAGCAGTACTCCATTTGTCACCTTGAACCGCCCAAACTATATAAAATATGGCATGTGATAAAATAGCCAATAATGAAAAGATAAGAGTACACCAAGAAGCCAGAGACTGCCTCCAAAACCGAAAACCTATTTGATACCAAAAGCTTAAAAATTATATTCTGAGAGACTGAAAAGCAAAGAACTAAACACAGAAACATATCTATGCTATTACTAAATCCTACGTATCATTACAATTATCACCAATTCCTTTTCTTTAACTGAATCAATAAAAATCCTTTTTATCAAGGATTATTTCACAAACCATCATGACATGCATAAGAACCTTAGGTCTAAGATTAAGACTCATAATTGATTATACTAGTTGCTAGGTTAACTAATGATGCTTTGGAAGGAACAACTGAGTAAATATTCCATGATATGTAACAACCCAATGGGTAGAAACTCATGAAAACATGGAACAATAGATGAACACTGATTTGCTTTAATATCACAGCTCTCTGTACACAGGGCAGAACATAAAGAGGGCGGAAAGCCACAAAATTTAGCGGGCTCAGAACTTCATTATGGATTCCGTGCTTCTGTTGTGAATAAGAACAAAGCTAGTAATGCCAGACAGTGCCACATGAAACATGAACAAGAATGTGAGATTTCTGAGAACCAAAAGATCTGCTAGGACATAAGAGAGTTAGAACATTTACTTTATGCATTAAACCTAGAACCAAATAAAATATAAAACACGGCCAAAAAGAATATTAAATAATAAAACAAGTACAAACCATGTTTTCGGAAGTAAAACCTGCAACTTTTAAAAGTTTGGATCCTAGATAATGGATGCGTCCGTATTGTGTGCTTTCTCAATTTATAGATTGGATATAATTCGTACATGATTTTGTCTTTACCTGGATTGTTGTAAAGTGCATATGAGTTTCCTCTTTTTATTGATTTAGGAGATATTTAGGAGGATGAAGGAATTCAATTGCTTCTACTACTGAACTCCTTGAGCTCAAAGAAAACACAAAATTTTGGACATGAATTTTCTGACTTTCTTGTGCAAGAAGAAACCCTTCCACAGCAATTGCAGACAACCATATATTATTATTACATGGAAAATGTGGTTATGAGCCTAATGGAACAACTTATGCAAGATAATAAGAGATGATAAAAGGCATCAACAACATAGCATTAAACAAAGCAGTCTATGCTCAGTTACCTGTTTTTGGAGCAGAATACTGAATGAAGAGAAAGGCAAACAGATCAGCTAGAGATATCAAGTTCCAATTAAGTAAAGCAGCTGAAGAAAAAAAAAAGAAAGGAAAAAACAAAACAAAATCAGAGTTGTTATATTAGCTTCCCAATTTGACCTAACTCCACACCTTAAAATAATCATCTCTTGGATGTTATCCCTCTATGTAGAGGAGCATACATGCATTAGTCTTTTTCGTTTTCCTTTTTATGCTTCATTATGTAACTTTCGCATGTCCCTTACTTTTCCACCTCAAGCAAGCTACAAGGCAAAACTAGATAGAACATAATTCAATGGTGAAACTAAAAATGTGTTTAAGACATGAAAGTTTCCATATATAGTTTGAAATTTTTCGGTTCCAAGCTAACTTTTACCATTGATCAAAGTGGTATTATCTACCAAAGAAGAAAACAACCCCACCTTGGACATCACCTGTCAAAAAAAACCAAAGTAAAAGGAAAAAAAATTACTGTAAAATAGATTGGCACATACCTGTCAGAAGCAGCAGAGGCAATACAAATCCACTGACGAAAGTTCCCATAATAATCCGTATTCAACAGTGAACATCACCTCAATTCAACCATAATTGTCTCCGAAAAGAAAAACCCATTAGTCAAAATTGAATCTTTCTCCAAAATTATTAAACCAATTTGAGCTATACACCCAATAACCCTTCTTCATCACGAAGTGCGCTTTCTCTTTCTTTGAACAGGATCAGTTGCTCATGGTTTTGTCATCAATGGTGATAACCATAGAAAAAGCTTGATGGATTCATCAAATCACAACAAAACAACAATACCCTTTTCCGCAAAACTTACAAATCCTTCTCTTCACCGCCAAATTCAACAATGTGGGTGAGGGTCAACCCTTTAGAAGTTCCCAATGAAATGCAGCAATAATCGGTAGATTAGAATGGGATCAGATTGTAGGGTTGAAGCGAAAATCAGAAACCTCAATTCAAGCAAACCGGCATCGTATTTCAGGTTCAGATTACCGTGTATCTCGCTTTATATATGTGATTGAAACATTGTTCACAGTGTTAACCCCAGAGAAATGACAAAAATTCTCATTCCCTGCTTTCATAGCCTTCCCTTCCTCAAAAAAATTCGTTTCCTGCTTATATAGCTTCTCCTCGCATGGATGGTTAAATATTCAGCCATTACAATGTGAAGTAAAATTGTAAATTTGACGTGTGAAATTTTACAGGTGCAGTCTTATATGTTATGATAGTAAAAGAATTAATTATATAATCATGTTCACATGTTACAATAATAAATTTACAACAATACGGAGGAGGGATTGCAATTATATTGTTTTTGTCAGTACTTACTATAGGCAATTACATAAAAAAAAGTTTTAAGGTTGAAATACGGTTTGGGTTAGTGATTATAACTCTTTTAAAAAATAATAATAACATTTAAAAATTTAAAATTTAAATTTTAAATCTTGATAAGTTTATTCTATTGGCTCAATGCACTTAAAAGAGGATAAATAAGAGTATCAAAAGTTTTGTTTCTTTTTGTAACTACAAAACAAAAAATCAAAGAGAATAAGAAAGAAAAGTTTGCACAACAATTTTATAAATGTTTGGTCTAACCACTCAACACTTAATCATCTACATTGACTTCACTCACTTAAGATTTTCTCTACACTCTCAACTAAGAAGAGCAAAGATGGTTTAAAGCAATCACTCAATTCTTTTATAAGAAAATAGGGTTTTTTTTTCTCAAATCTCACCCTTTTACAAGATAAATTCAAGAATTCTCACTACAAATCACTCTTGAAAGAATAATCATACCTCCAATATAATTCTCAAATAAAACAAGTAGAGGATTACAAGTAAAGATTACTCAAATATCAAAATCTTAGGTTAAAGCATAAGTTGGTAGATAAAAGATATACAATATAAATGCCTAAAAATTGTTTCAGATCTTCTACCTACCATCTTTATATTCCCTTGGTCGAAAATACATGTTTCTAGTTGTTGGGATTCATTAAATGCTCTACAGATCAATTTAAGTTCAAGAAAAGATGTTGTAGTTTTTGTTAATAAAGCTAGCTCTACCTCCAAAGCCGGCTTTGCAAAGTCGACTATCATGTCTTGAACTGGCTTTCTTGCTCCTCCTGCACATTCTGTTTTTTCAAAGAGCCAACTACAAAACACAAAGTTAGTTTAAGAAATCTGATTTTAAAGATAAATATGATTTCAAAATATTAAAAAATCTTTAAAGAACTTGATAATTGAGCATTAAATACATCATCATAGTCGACTACGAAGTTAGAGTGAGCTTTGCGTTCATTTTCCATATGCCAAACTACAGACTTGAATTTTTCTTCCATAGATCTAGCTGCAACTTCCAAAGCTAGCTCTCTACATTTCTCTTCACTAAAACTAACTATAGAATTGTAGAGTCAACTCTTTACACCAATTTCAGTATTTTTGATCTATTTTTTGTAACACTCCACATACATTAGTGAATAATTTAAAAATTAGTGTCCTTTAGTTTATAGTTTTAGGAATTAAATTGATTGAATTTAAAAGTTTAGGGATTTTAAGTAAAATTTAGTAGGAGTTGAATGACCTTAACTCAATTATCCCAATTTTTCTTACCGCATGGCATTATCCCAGCTGAGTTTTTTTCCCCTCTCGGTTGGGTTTGGATAAGCCTCTAGAAGGCTCCCAAAAGCCCCATTTTTTTTTTTTGTTGTTGTCCTACGCCATCCTCTTCCACTTGCATCTTTCTTCCTTCTTTCTCCACCCAAGGTTAAGGTGTTTGTTTTAGGTAAGTATAAGTTTTAGTTATGAATTTGGGATTAGAGTTTTGAGTAGTTTAAATTGGTGAGATTTGACCCTAATCCTTTGGTTTATAAGATTTTTAAGCATTAAAATTTCATTAGAAATATCTTTAATTTTGGAGCTTATATGAGAAAGACAGTGAGTTATTTTTTTTTATGTTTGATTTGAGTGTGAGTTTTTATTTGTTGAAATTATAAGTAAATTGTACTGTTCATGTGTTATGAATATTGTTTACGTGTACGGTTTATATATACACTGTTCATGGGGTATTGTTTATGATTACTGTTCACATAATTACTGTTCATGATTATTGTTCATGATTATTGTTCATACATCACTGTTCACGCACTTTGCTTTAATCTTTTTCAATAGGAAGTCCTAATATTATTTTGGACATATTCTGAATTTGTTTGACATGCATATGTGTTTGTGACTATGGAGTAAGTGAACCTAAATTTAAAACTTGGGATATTCAGTGGATCTCTGTGCAGTATGGTTAGTACTGTGATTAGCTTCGGTACAGTGTTGTTAGCACACATCAGTGGACTCCATAATATTGTGTGATTTTCAATTGTATGCATTGCGCTTGTGACATCGTATTTGTAAACGTATGATTTTAGTATATGAATTTAATTTAAATGTCATTGATTATTTCTTGACATGTGTGAGTATGATCTGAGAATTATAATATTATATGGTTTAATTTCGTTGTATCTTATACTCTTTGTGTGTATAGGTCTAGGGATCTTAGAACCCAAATTTATAGTTTAAACTTATTACTTAGTGGGCTTTAGCTCATAAAATTCCCCCCTCTCCCATTTCAAATTAATAGATCGAGATAGCAACCTCTGATTTAGGAGTTTTTGGCACGGGACTCGCATGCTCGTTGTATGTACAAGTTAGGGCCTCGTGTTTTCGATAGGGAGGCAAATCGATGTGTTACCAGAACAATGATTCAGTTTTTGTTCTTTTGAAAAGTTTTGGAGAAGAAATTTGCCTCATATAATTTTTGTGTAAATTACCTTTATGTACATAATTTTTAAACTAATCATAAATGAGCTTAACTCAACTTATTTTATAACTTTGAATATTTTTGCATTTTTTCCAATATATATATATTTTGTTAAAGTGGGTTTCCTTTACAGGTTTTGTTTTGAACAAACATTTTATATCAGAAGTGTTTTACTTTCGTTGCAATTCTTTACTATAAATCTTATTTTCGAACTCTTCTAGAACTAAAAGTGTCTAAAGAGGTGTGTTATATTTTTAGTACAGATCAAGTTCATTTACTTTTGTGTTCATTTACTTTTGTCATCTTTTAGGTGATAAACTACATACTTAGATAAACAAAATCACTCATTCAAATATGTTTTGTAATCATCAAAATTATAGGTACAGTATATTTTTTATTATTTAATTATATTAATTCAAACAAAAAGTTTTGAGGTTGGAGTGCATATTTAATGTATAATTTGACATATAAATTTATTAAAATATTCTTAATAAATAT